GTCGTGGGAAGACGTACATGTGCAGCGTTGTTGGAGGCAAGAGACTCCAGTTTCTTCTTGTGGTCGGCGATACACTTGCGGAGGTTGATCACATTTGAGCACTGGTCGATCACCGTGTCCACCTGTGGAAGAAGAGGGGAGTAAGAGGTGAGGAAGAGGGGAGGAAAATGGGAGGAAGAGGGGAGGAAGATGGGAGGAAGATGGGAGGAAGATGGGAGGAAGAGGGGAGGAAGAGAGGAGGAAGATGTGAGGAAGATGGGAGGAAGATGGGAGGAAGATGGGAGGAAGATGGGAGGAAGATGAGAGGAAGAGGGGAGGAAGAGGGGAGGAAGAGGGAAGGAAGATGGGAGGAAAAGGGGATGAAGATGGTTTTGTTTGTTTGAGTAAAAATCGATACAATAATGGTCATTAGTGTTGTGAAAAGATTTGACAGGCAGACAGAAACAACAGAGGGAAAGTAAAGAAGTAGGACATACCAGTGGCACCCTCCAACCACCCAGGGTTAACTAACGCCCGTATCAATACTTTAAGGTTATTTAAGAGGCTTATGAACTTGTCGTTATTAATGATCCTATTATTTAATGTTGCACAATATCAAGAATCAGAAAATTTACAATGTGGAGTCTTTTCTGATCAGTCATATAATATTTGAACATTTCTGGCGTGTTAGTTCTCTTTTTTAAAATTCATTTTCTCTTCAGGAACTTTAACAAAATCTGTCTTCCAAACTTTTGAAATCCATTATTTATTTCTTCAAAAGTTGAGAGCATACTCTATCATTGTTTTGTAAAAAGTCAGTTAATTAGTGAAGCACTTATTGATGTTATTTTTTCATTCGCTGAGAATTTAAGTGATCAACATCATTTTGAACTCAATAATCATGTAACACCGTGTCCATAATTTCCAAGAATTAAGACGAAAACAACAAAAAACCAAAAGCATGTAAATTGCTTTTGGGTGCAACAGATTATCTGTTTCCTTTTGCGTTATATTTTGCTCATCGTAAAATTCAAGGTGGCGTTTTTTTCCAGCAAACACGTTGTCGGGAGCGATGAAATGTGGGGAATCATCCTTCGTTGTGAACGTTTAGCACGAGATGGTGTGGGTTCAACACATCCTTTAATAATATTATGAGCTTTTTAAAGAGGTGAGACCTTCTCGTGGCGACGGTAGCGTAGTGGTTAAGTTACTGGACTCGTTGTCGTAAGATCGCGGGTTCGGGGGTTCAAGCCTCAGCTCTGTCCGACGCTGTGTCCTTGTGAAAGACACTTTACACGAATTTCCCATTTGGCCCGGTCTTTTCGGAGATGGACGTTAAACTCAGAGGTCCTGCCTCTTAAATAACCTAACAGTGTTGATAGGGGCGTTAATCTGATATACTTTTTTCAGACCTTCTCTTTTAAAGTTCATCTCCTATCGTACCAAGCTAAACATCTGGAGAGCACTGGGAAATCCACAAACAATTCAAGTTCCCGCACGCCCTTTTGCGGATTTGGGCCAGTACTTTTTTCTCTTAGGGATTTCAAAAAGAATCACGCTGAGTCAATTTTGGTTGTTGCAGTAACTGCTCATTAAATGACATGATGAGTCACATTTTTAAAGAAAAATAGCGCCTAGTGCGATATATAATACTAGTAATAGCTTGCCCGTCAGTTCTGATGCAATACATTTACAGAGGTGAATATTTCTCCAGCGAAATAGAAGAGTTAGACGAATTAAATATAGCGACCAGCGCAATCTACATGAAATAATAATAATAATAATATAATATTTAATATGTTCTAGATGACGTCATTGGCCACGATGTAAACACTTTTTACCAATCTCGAACAGAGGAGTAATCTATTTATTAGAGGTATGTCAGTACAGGAAAAAAAGTAAGACGAACAATCAGAGAGGAACAACAGAGGGAATTTGATTTGATTGATTTTGATTGAATAGGTGTTTTACGGCACTATCGATTCAATTTTGGTCTTGTAAGTGCCAAGAAGTTTCATCGCCGCCAATCTATTACTATGTTAAAAGAACGGACACGGACAAACACTTATAGAAATCTGTGTAAATATGGCAAAAACTATTTACATGCGTATTTACAATTCCAGTGTCAGTGTACATATTATATACACCGACAATTACAACTGTATAACTATATCTTATGAAACAGTCCAATTCCCTTATTGGAACCCCGAATCCTCTTTGGACTAACGTTGTCAAAAACAATCTTGATGTTTCTACATTTGAAATATTTCACGCGTACATGGTCAAAATCGATATATTCCGTCAGAGCGTGCGGAACAGTAAAATATGCGTTGCACGCCATGCAAAAAGGAGCAACAGATCTAAAGAAATGAAAACTGGCTATGCTAGTGGCACCCTCCAACCATCCGCCATTGTTTTCTCTTGCACTGAAGATTGCTATAACCCTTTTAGAAATATAATACTACAAATAGTATTTGTACAGCGCATATCCCCGCTCAACAGCAACCCATATTATTATGCTCTTTATATCTATAGTGTTGTTACCCCAGTAGACCACTGACATGAGCACCCAGAAACATTCTCGGCTTCCCGGGAAGCATAATAATTAAGGAATAAAAAATAACAAACTTATATTTCGCTATCCATAGTCGGGTACAAATTCCCCCAAAGGTGAAGTGAGGGGAAATTCGTTTAAAGTGCCTTTCATAATTCACTGCATCGGGCCGATGACGGGATTCGAACCCACGACCTTACGGTTGGGAGTCTCAGCACCTAACCAGTAGACCACTGACGCCACACGAGAACGCACGTACCTGTTGCTTGATGAGGTGTCCGTCCTTGAGGTGAGCCACCAGGCGTTGTACCGCTTTGTACTCACCCTCCACGTAGTTTGGGCGCTGGCTGTTTATTTTGTAGGCACTGGGGAAGTTGTAAGAACTGTAAATGTTTTACGCCCCTTTGACACAATTTACGCCATTGTTGTCACGACGCGGTGGAATCCGGCTCTCGTCATTTTTTGGCATAATCGCTACCGTAGAATTAAAAAGCTGACATTTTTGGCCGTTTTGAGTAATTAAGCCCAAGAAGTCAGAAATCAAATGCTCTATCTGTTTCATCAAAATCGTAGGATTATCCGAAGTCGCTATCAAGATATTCAAAGAACTGCATTCGACAAAGCTTGACATGTTGTGAAACTCAAACATCTTGACGTCAAATTTCCCAAAACTACGTACGGAGCAGATAGAACTTCGCCATTCTAAGGTAGCGATTTGGGGTTAATGGGGTCATCTTAAAGCTTGCTCATTTGCCTTGCTTTCCATGAAAAAAATACCCATCTATCTTGAATAGAAATCGGGATATTTGCAATTGAAGGCGAGGGGGGG